GTACCGAGTGTCACCCCGATCGCGAAGGCACCATATCGGTTAGCACCACCCGAGATGTAGGAGTTATCTACGCAACTTCAGGAGCTGCTAGATCGGGGGTTTACATGTCCGAGTAGTTCCCCGTGGGGTGCACCGATTCTTTTCGTGAAAAAGAAAGATGGATCGCACAGGATGTGTATTGATTATAGGGAGCTGAACAAGCTGACGGTGATGAACTGTTATCCTTTGCCAGGGATCGACAATTTATTTGATCATCTTCAGGTTGCATCATTGTTCTCCGAGATTGATCTTTGGTCCGGGTAACATCCGACAAGGATGAGGGATGAGGATATACCAAAGACAGCTTTCAGGACTCGTTATGGGCATTATAAGTTTGTGGTGATGCCATTTGGGCTCACCAATGCCCCGACAACATTCATGGATCTCATGAATCGGGTATGCAGACTTATGCTGGATTGGTCGGTGATCGTTTTTATTGATTATATCCTAATTTACTCCAAAACCAGAGAGCGGCACGACCAACACTTGAGAGAGGTGCTGGAGACTTTGAGGGTGCAAAAGCTTTATGCAAAGTTCTCCAAATATGATTTCTGGCTGCGGGAAGTGCAATTTTTGGGGCATATCATCAATCAAGAAGGTATTTCAGTTGACCCAACGAAGGTGGAGGATGTGATGCGATGGGAGGTACCGAGGAACGCCTCGGAGATTCGTAGATTCTTGGGTTTACCTGGTTACTATCACAGATTTATCCAGGATTTCTCCAAGATTGTGAAGCCATTGACCCGTTTGACCAAGAAGAATGTGACTTTCCAGTGGGATAAGGATCAACATAGGGCTTTTGAGACTTTGAGGCAGATATTATGTGAGGCTCCAGTCCTAGTACAGCCTGAGGGGTTGGATGATTTAGTGGTATATTGTGATGCATCGATTTCAGGCTTGGGTGCAGTATTGATGCGGCGAGGGCATGTGGTTGCTTATGCCTCGAGGCATTTGAAGCCTCACGAGGCAAATTACCCCACACATGATCTAGAGCTGGGGCGGTGGTGTTCGCTAGCAAGATTTGGAGGCATTATTTGTATGGGGTGCGGTTTATTATCTATACCGATCACAAGAGTCTAAAGTATTTGATGGATTAGTAGAACCTTAATATGTGACAAAGGAGATGGTTAGATGTACTAAAGGATTATGATT